CGCGCGCGCGTGTTTGCGGCGGCGGTTGCGCAGGCGAAGGGCGTGCACGACCACCCGCGGCCCGAGGCCAAGTCCACGTCGGAGGCGCGGCGCAGCCTGGGGGCCGGACGGCGCGTGCGCGGGCTGGCCGTGCTGCTGGCGCGCGAGGCGGCGCTGGGCTCCAAGGTGAGGAGGCAGAGCGGGGCACCGCCCGCGCCCGCGCGTTAGGGACCTTTTTACTCCTTTTACTCTCCTCCTCTTGCTCGACCCTTTTTCCCTTCTTCCTCTCCTTCCCCTTCTTCTTCTTCTTCCCCCTCTTCTTTTCATTCTCATTTTTCTCATTCTCTGTAGTTCTGCGCGGCTAATGATCTCTTCAACTTGTCAGAAGCTAGAAATGTAGTCTTTCAATTATTTTCCAAATTGGTATGTTGCATGTTATAGTGGCATGGCAAGAGTCAATATCACACGGGGGTCTATTGTCGGCATCGTCCCCACTGCTGATGTAAATACGTTTTCTGCAACTCGACAGCAATGTTGATAGATTTCAAGTTTTGTCAGTCACGCTAATTAGTAATTTATTTATATGCAATTATATGTAATGAGAGAGTAAGGGCGAGAAGATTCTAGAACTCAAAAAAACTTAAGCAGATTAAACTTTTTCCCGCATAAAGTTTGTACTATTTTTTGGCGATAAATATATTAAAAAATAAATTAAATTAAAATTGCCAGATTCTGTTAAGAATTTTAACAATCTGTCGTCCGTTAAAAATAATCGAAACAATGAGTTGTATCTAAAAATGACGTTTGAGTACTCCTACTTCAACAAAATGTATAAGAATGTGGTATTACGAAAAGCAATAGAACGAAGGAATGCGGCTAAACGACACATGTCCAATATCACAAATAACAGCCTAGGATAATTGGACAACCTTGGCTAATGCCTCGGTTTACAAACTTCAACCGCTGCCTTTATTTTCTTTATTTCGACCTGATAGCGTTCAGATCTAAAGAATGATTGTCGTCCGATTAAGAAAAAAATATATAGCAGCCGCTTACGATGAAGAAAAAGTTTGAATAGCGCATTCATACAAGCGCTTTTACAGACTTCAATGTAAAACGTGTACTAAATAGAATTTTAACAACACTTACTATTCTGTGACAAATGAAATGTCTTGTTTGCACTATGGAGCTATTTTACGGTTCTCCTCTACAATCTTGTTATTCTCTGAGGATATCAACGAAAAATATATTTTTGACTTCTATTCCCTGTCAGAACGGTTCGGTAGTCGGTTATTTGGATGTTTCCAGCCTGAGAAAATATAAGATACGATTAGGGATGAGGAGTTGGAGGACTTCATTTTGTTGTTTTTATGCGGAGTTTCCATATCGCAAGTACCACAATGGATTCTTCATCTTGTAATAATTCACATTTCTTGGACCTATGCTAAGGTACGTTAAACAGGCAAGAAGCCAACCGACACACTCGGAGATGACACAACTTAATGTAAAACATTTCTTTATCAGTAGGACATGTTTGTTCCAGCATAACTCTCAAATGTGAGAAGCAATTTCAAACAAATTTTGCGCGAACCTTTGAGCGACTTATGTTACTCAGCCAGGTAGAAGAGAACTATCAATATGCAACCGTTCTAATTGACGCAAAGGCAGTCAAGGTGATTAATTCACGCTGTTGAAAGCATCGCCAACACTTAGTTAAGTGTTTTGTTTCTGAATGTAAACACTCCTATTTTACAAATACATGACGTTATGTGTAAAGACCTACATCACTACTTAAGCCAACGTTCAAGACGTATCTGTACTATGGAACTATGGAACTATGGAACTATGGAACTTATGGAATTTATATTCAAAATATATAAATACACATTATCGAAATAGTACGCATTGAGGGAAGTGTCCAGTTAGTACTTTCGACAAAGATCTAAAAGAATAAAATGTTCAACAAGTTAAGAAACCGCCACACCTCTTGTTGAAGGTGAACACTACAGTAACGACTTCCCCAAACCACATGATAATGTCGAAAAACTTTGTCATATCTAATAGCATTCAAAGTAATCATGCAACTACCTACTACCTTACATGAAAAGAAAGTTAACAGAAACATAACTGATGACAACAGCAACTTATTTGTCATTTAGATAAATTGATAATTATACTTAAGAGAAATCTGTTAAAAAGTTAATAAAGATAAGAAAGAGTCTGGCGTGAAAGAACATGCAAATGGTAGAACGAAATTTCGCAGGTTCAGTTCAACAAAAAAAGATAGATTAACTTCTCGCAATGTACAATGCGGATTTTACAGACCACTTTAATCACCCACGATGAGAAACGTTGCCTGGCGTTTCCTCATTGACATTCATTACAACTTTGTAATGATGCCAGAATACCATTGCTCGAAGGAATGCCCAAATTTTAGGGAGAACGTTTTAACAATTTGATACTTGACAACCGTGTCCAAACCAGAACATAGAATTAACTCATACTTGCGAGAAAGTATTTCATTTATTAAACTTTTTACACAGCATAGCGTAAAACGTAGATTAACAATCACGTGACCAGCAGAGTATGATGTGAACACTGATATAGCGAACCATTTCCGGATTTACTAAAGTAATATAATATATTATTTTCTATTTGAGAAAATCATGTGAACGGTTTAGACGACAATGCTGTCCTCAGAAGTATTGGCACACGCTTTGAGAAAAGGAAACACGTTTTCGCTATCGAGAATCCACAAAACGTCATTCTAAATACTCTACATTATAAAGAAATTAATTTACTGTACATAGGAGAAGAAAAAATCATTTAGTCGGTAACAGAAACAAAATCTACTTTTCTGTCTAAAAATCGCCCTTTTTTCTGCAGAACTACATAATTTTCTCCATACTTCGTATGTGAGAACAAAGGTTTTGCCGAAAAGAAGGTAAAAAAATTACTCATACTATCCACTATAATTTTCCACATATTTGATAATATATCGTGAATTGAGAATTTTTCAAAATCTAACTGTATTATCTTTGGGCAACGAGGAAATGAAAAAGATATCCTCTTGGAGACCTGGTCTCCTCCATTGCCTTCTTATTAACTATGCGTAATTAGTGGTTGACTATTATGTAAATTTGTAAAATAAACTAAGTTTTACAACAGCTTAGTAATTCATAAATATTGATTATAAAAACAGTCTACGTATACGAAAGTTCAAAGGTTGTAAATATTTCTTCAAATCTTTCTCAGAAGAGGAAATTGTTTCTCAAAATCACTAGTCACCAGGTGTTGACTATTTGAGTGAACTGTTTGACTTAATATTCATATTATGGGTTCACTATTTTAAAAATAAAAATAGGAGTATGTAAAAATGTCTTCACTGACAAATTCGTGTATTTTTATTGAGTAAATAAGTTTTGATGTTTGATAAGGCTAGTTTTCAATCACAGTTCCAGCTTACTTAATGACTAGTAATGGCTTTAGCCATCTATTAAACCACTATTAAACTAAAGCGTACAAATATAAGCTTACTAATACTTAAAAACTAATTTAAAAATCAATGAATCCGGAAATTATCATTGCAATGGATATGATTGCGATACTAACATGTATAATTATGAAATTATGTTTCCTTCACCTCGTTTCGCTGCAGTTTATAGACAATTAGTATTTATTGGAAATAGACGATGACCATGGCCTTACCTACTTTCAATAATTTCAAACTAATTAATTATTCAAGTATTTTATCCGTTCCATCTTCCACCCCTCGCTTTCCGCTTGTCTACTGTTCTGAAAACACGTCTACAAACCCCAATCAACCCATTACAGTCATTACACGAGAATGGTTAAAACAAACTGCAAAAAGGATATTGTGGAAGATTTTCGTTGATATTCCTGTTTTTTCAATTCGCATTTAAGAATTGAATATGGACTTAAAAAATTCTCCAATTTTCGATACTATGATGTGAAAAAACTACAAGGAGAAAAAAAGAGTCTGTTAAAATAAGCAGACTCTGTCTATTAACATGCTTGTCGTTAGATGAAGTATTAAGCATATCTACTTTAAATAATTATGAATAGAGGTCGGAAAAATATGTAATATGAAAGTCAAAATATGTGCATAAATATGTACTGAAAACAGTAGGAATATGTAGTAAATATGTAAAATCGGATATAAAATGTAAAATAAAAATACTGTAATACTGTACAAAACACAGTTACATAATACGAAGTTACATTTACAAAAGCATTCCCTTAACAAATTTCAAAAATAATACGACCGTTTTAAAAATAATTTGGAGAGCACAAGTTGACGCACATTTTGCACCATACTACTTTCCCGTCAGTAATAAAAACTTCGTCTATTGGTATATTCAGGACCGAAGTTTAGCAGCCAGACTAGACGCAATAGAAGCCATCGTGTAAACTGGCGATATCTATGACCAGCAATTAATCACTACAGCGTGCAGCATTCTCGTTGGAGTGTTACACGTTGGCGATTGCCAAAGTTTCTCAAAATTTTGGGTTGAAGGTCACGAAACGCGGCGTCAGGGATACTTTTCACACCTAAAGGTAAAAACGATCTCAATCGCTGCCTTGAACCTCCCGCTACTGAGATAACTGAAGCAGACGTGCCGGTCTGTGAGGAAATCTAACCGTCTCCTCACGTAGCGAAATACACGGCATGCAGTAATAATGTAGGGGAAAATGCTAATTTTTGTATAAATACTTTTTTCGTAAAAATGCATTAAAAACTAAAGAAAATTGATATTATAAAAGTGATTTTTAGAAAATAGAAAAATATGTAATATATTACTCAATTTGTAACAAAAAAAATTGCATACTGTGTTAGGATGGCGATGATTCGCCAAGGTTAAAATTTTGAGAATGGTAAGTAGAACGACAAAAAATATGTAATTACATAAAATTTTCGCTTTAACTTGCCAATGTAACTCTGCGAACCGCTTTATGTTTGTCCTTGCTTATTTTTAAGCGATATCTCTCTGTTCCAGCTGATGTCTTTACGAGAAGGCAAGACCGCCACCGAGTCGGATGCCGAACCGAATTCTCGGTCTGTGTTGTGTCCTTTGGAGCCTCCCCCACCCTTAATATCAGACTCGGAAAAAGGTGAGGGAATTGCCAATTGTGCATTCTTGCTATGCAATGTTCGTAATACAGTCAATACCACTTTTGTCACTATTATATTACACGAGTTCACGAGACTATGGAAAATTTGTCAACCGGTAGGAATGAAAAATTATAAATAGTAGAAAGTACATGAGCATCGTATAAGAATGCTATGGTGCAAAGTTGTACTTTATGGAAAGTCTTACATCAGAAAACTTGTAAATAAGGTTGAGCGTTGTTTCTGAAAATAAGTATCATTGCACGTTCCACATACCTCATTGAAGTCAATAATGAACGTCGAGACCAGGGTTCAGATGCCATTGCGTGTTAGTCAGTGTAGGTATTTAAAACAACGAAAGACACTATAGTCAATTTACTTGATGTCACAATCTCGAATGAAATTCAGCGCGCCGGGGATTAGTTATTATTTACATCAAAATTACGACTGACGTCAAATATAAAACTTCCCAAATAAATATGAATTGCAGACATATCATAAGTTAAAAATTAAATTAGTGTGCTTTATTGTGATTTTACGGATAGATTTACATTTTATTCCTAATTTATACTCTTTTGAAAATCGTGCAGCATGTACATGTGATATTGTCGATCCACTTCCGGTGCCTTGAAGTACCGGCTATTTGTCTTGTTTAAATAATTATGTTTAAGAGTTATTAACATTATGTTTTCATCTACAGGATTTTCATGTTCTTGCCCTCCATTTGAATGCATATGTGGAAGACTGCCATCCACCCAAGGCCAATTTCACCACAATCCCCAGTTCCAGCATCCCCATATGGATCCATCATACTGGATTCAAGATCATCTTCAACAGTTCAATACGATTTCACATCCAGAAAGTTTATCAGGTGTTGCAAGTAATTACTTCAATCATGTTCAGAGTGAAGAATTGAGTGCAAATATGCTGAATCAACAGCAATGTGAATTAGGTCCACTAGGCAGTGACTTATTTCAGCCAGATGAAATTTTTCAATTGGATCAACCTTTACGGCCACCAGATTATGGAATGATAATCCAGCATCAACAGCATAACAACAACAACATAGACAATGAAAGATCTCCACCTATGCTGCTTGATTTGGGTAGTGGAACAATCCATCGTGATAATATTAAACATGAACCCGAATCATATTGGTTGCTTCCTCAGTCACAGCTTTTATCTGTCGTCACTGATGAAAGCAACAGTAGTTCCAGTCAGTTTCCTCCCTGTTCACCAGATAATCCATTATCATCCAATACACGTCAACATTCATTGGAAGACCCCAATTTGTGTGAACTAAATGACAATGTGCAATACCAAGATAGTGCCATGCGTATGCATTGTAATTCTTCAAATCACACTAATACTATTGTTAACCCCAGAAATATAGAAGAAGTGACAACCAAAGATGTAGTCAATAGTATTTTCCAATATAACACACAAGAAAATGCAGTGAAAACTGAGGGTACATTGCAAGCACAAGGTATGAGTGACAATCACCTGCTGTATTATGAATTACAGGATTCTCGCTTGGATATTCCTCAACATCCAAACTCTTTGGATGTGAACAGCATGAATGGGTTTTCTTATAGTCCTAATGATGAACAGTCATACAAAATTATTCACTTGGAGAACAGAAATGGCAACACTTGTGATATGGAAGGAAAAACGAAAGGTTTTAGGTTTAGTAGTGTTCCTGGGGCAACTCCTCCAGATTCTCAAATTAATGCTAAGGAATTTCTAAGCACAAATTTTAGTTCCCCCTGCCTTGGAGTACAAAACATGGATGATATAGATGGACCTTGTCCTACTGGAGAGTATCCTCTATCAGGAGTGTCAAACATGTATTGTGAACGTATGGATATGCATTGCACATCTTTGGATGGAAGCACTCACACACGGTTACAATGCACAACTTCTCCAAGTGAAATTGCTAACAATTGTAGAATGCAGTGTTCAGATGTAGATAATAACACCTACCATTCTCCCTCGCACTTCACAAACCCTCCTCACTTCCCCCATGTTTCCCACCATTGACATTGTAAATAAAATGCTTTCAATATTAATTTTGTTTTATTAGTGGTCACCAGTTAATTCAAATCCCATTCCTAAAACATTAATATCGACTTAACTCTTTTCACATTCACATATTTCTCGTGTATTTTCACAATGCCAATGCGGACAAGAATTTACTCCCGTCATTTATCGATTTTCACAATTGAAGTTGTAATTTGACGATGACAAAGAGAAATGTGCCGCTCCAACAGTACATTATTTCTTGTGATGGTAAAAGTTACATAATACTATGACATCTGACTCTTTAAACATTTTTTAAAGTATTTCCATGATTATTAATCTGAAGCTTTTTAATTTGATTAGAAGGATATAAAAAATCAAGTTCCTACCAACAGACTGAGAAGTGTCAAATAACACAATGACAATGTATGGATATGTAGTACGAGGCATTTTCTATGAAATGCAGTTCATTCCATTTGTTAAAATTTTTCAAAGGAAACAAAATTTTCTCACGTGCACATGCACATGCAGTTTAATATGAAATGGATATGTTTTTGCCACATTTTAGGTGGGAATAAGTAGGATTTGAAGCCCTTTGTGAGTACTCTCAAACATGCAGAATGGACTAAAAGTGAAAGTTAGTAAATAATTTAACAAGCTATTTTTGATAGCCAATGCCACATTTTATGTAAAAATTACACTCATGAAAAAAATGTTCAAGAGAACATGAAACAAAACAAAAAATATAAGATCAAATAAAAAAGTTTTTATTGTATTCTACATTTGTACAGATTTGTCTCCTTTCAAGAAAGTCAGTGACACACCTCATCCTCACTTTCAAATCTACATTTGCTCAAATCTGCGTCACTCAAAATAAAATAACTTGTCAGTATCTTCATACAACCACGTCTCTCAAGTTAACAAGAAACTCACTAGGAACCTACATATTTCACTTAATAATAAATAAAATACGATTGACCAGATGAATTTGGAGTTCAGTCAGAACAAACTCATCAAAGAATAAATATCACACTAACATCATAATATTAACAAGCAAGAGAATATCGACAAATTTATTACAAGACACTGAAAAGCATCCTTTGAGTTTCACATATTACAAGCCAACTGCACATTATCACATAGTGTAATCACTAAGCCTGCACAACTTAGTATTAAAAAATGTCACAAATTTTAACTTGCAATTATTATAGAGTAAATGTTAATTATGTCCCAGAGGTACACAATATTGTCTAGGCACAATGCATTTGGTGCATCACACACTTTTGAACATCAGGGTTTCGATGCCTAGTTCATCTTCATCATTGCCCTTTTTTTTCTATCACATGAAATTATGTCCCAGGAATACCATAAGACATTTGCATAAAGGAAATCATGCACCAACTTTGTATTTGAGACAAAAGAGACAATGTTTCCTGAAAGAAAATCCAGGTCAGAGAAACAAAGGTTTTGAAAGCTTTGTATTCTATCTTAAATGCGTATGTAAAAATATATTAGTATAAATATTTTTGTGTCAAATTCTATATATATATGTATATATATACACACATGCATACACACACATCACTTGTGTTCTCTATGTTTCACTTATACTATAAGTATATATTGCACAAACATATTTACAAAGCTCAGTTGTGGGAATCAAGTATCACACAAAATTGCGCCAAGCTACAAAATGTATCAGACAAATCATCTTGTCTTATCAAGTACAAAAGACTATTCATTATAAACTACCCTCATCAGCTGATATATGATGAGGTATGTCTATCACGTAAAAAATAAAAATAGTTATCACACAGCACAATATTAAATATAGCAATTAAACAAAAACATATCAAGACAAGATCACAACTCCGAGACACAACAAAAAATATTATTTTGAAATTACATGCATCACAGCCCTACATAACTGATCAAATACATCTAGATTCAGAGAAAACTAAGTAAAGATCCTCCTCAAAATACCAATGAAGAGCAAGTCAGATCTAATTCTAACAGAAGAAAATTAGGTACTCAGTGATGTCTTTTGTTATGAAGATTTTATGGGTTAGCAGACTGCTTGCTAGGACAAGCAGAAAAACTTAGTTATCTCTTTATCTAATGAATGCTTGCCTCCTACAGACCGTATATCAAAGTGGAAATCTAGTTTGTTTTGTGTTTAAAGATGTTTGCAGCTATAAACATAAATTCAAATTGCTTATAAATACTGAATGCTTTTAAATAGTGTACAGAATGTGCTTATATTGTTTTAGAATGATACTATCCTGCTATCTCTGACACATATCTACATCAAACAGGGAAACAGGAATTACAAAGGAACAATGAATTAAGTAACTACTTATCATATTCATAGAAGCTGAAACTATCATTATCATTGTTTGAGTACATCTATACTATATGCTGAAGAGATTCAATTTAACCTGTTCATAAAAGATGAATATCAGCAAATCTCAAAACATACCCTGCAGACGCAGAGAGATAGACAGAGAATTATAAATGATTGGCATGCAACAGGATATGACATTAATGTTGAATGTAGTACACTATTATTATCTAAGACTTTTCTCCTCAAGAGAATTTCATTTGAACAGTTAATACCAGAGTACACTAATGGAAGGATTCTGGTTGCGAGGATCGAGCCTCATACATTCAGTATATTGCAAGTAAAAATTGCAAAGGCATGCAGAAATCAATGACCAAGTCTGCAGCAAATATTTCCCAATATTTTCCCATTTCCAAGACCGACCCCAACATCTGGCAAGACCCACACATACCATCACAACACAAATTATTACAAAACTTAAATTAAATATCACAAGAGCCATGTATATTTCATAAGTCTTAAATCTAAACTAACACAAAAATTAAAGTAACCCGATTCCTCACATTTGTTGTCCAGCAGGGTAGGTGAATTGGAATTATAGTAATGCCAGTAAATATGATGCTACTCTGCACAACTGCAAGAAAATGAATTTCAATCTTTCTGTGTTCACTGGCATGTCTCATTTGATTTACCAATATATAAAAAGCAACAGATTAACAATTTTCAATTTTTTGGCAGCATCCAAACCTGCACAAGAATTGCTGATGTTCATCTTACTCTTTTAAATATCCTGAAGATGAAGACTCGTCAGTCTTATCTACAGAAACCTCATTTGAATGATGTTCTTTCTCTCGTTCACTCCTTTGAAGCTGTTCATCTTCACATTGGGCATCATTTCGTTGTGCAGTATTACTTGTTGATGGCTCTGGTAGCTTTATTTGTTGTATTTGTTGTTGTTGTTGTTGTTGTTGTTGTTGTTGTTGTTGTTGTTGTTGTTGTTGTTGTTGTTGTTGCTGCTGCTGCTGCTGTTGCTGTTGTTGCTGTTGCTGTTGCTGTTGCTGTTGCTGTTGTTGTTGCTGCTGCTGTTGTTGTTTTCCATGATGATGGTGATGGTGATGATGTTGCTGCTGTCTCCTATTTGGATAATGACTCCTTGAAAGTAAATTTTCCTTCTGTACTGGCCTCACTTTAACCCGGTAAAATTTGGTCCCCTTGGGTACTCTGTACCTATTTTCTGCCTAGAAACACAAACAAAACAAAAATCAATTCAAGTGACATTTCAAAAACTTCATCTTCAAAAAACATTATTTGTAGTAATGGATTTAATTAGTATTGAGGAAATCCACACCTCATAAATATAAAAAGTGTCATTTAATAAAAAGATATGGACAGATCTCACAGAGATAAGGACAGAGTAAACAGATCTCATCATATAAATAAATGTTTACATTTAAAATTGGTTTAAGTGGAAGAATATTTAGTAATTTTTAAATATTTCATAAATTAAAGATTTACAGAACAATTAGTCTAGGGAAAATTTGGTATTATATAACTATCTCATAAATTGAAGAATTAGTTTAAAAGAATAATTAACTTACAAAAAAAATTATGATTGACCATTCACAAAAATGATTAAAGATGCTTATGACAAATAGAAAACAGACGAGTGAACATTATTAGATATAGATTTGCACATCGATACCAGACATTTACAAAGAATTTAAACAAAAAATGGGTTTCACAGTATAGTGGAAGGCAAGCAGTTAGAGAAGAGATGTGATGTGAATAGTTATATAATAATAGCGAGAGATTAGTGAGAGGGTAAGGGGGAGGGAGGGGGAGCAGGAGGTGAGAGAGGGAGAGGGGAGACAAAGACAGAGGGGAGAAAGAGGGAGGAGAAAGAGAAAGAGAAAGAGAGAGGGAGAGAGAGAAAGAGATTTTGATTGCTAAATGCATTTATTTAAGATGTGTATGATTTACTTACTTTCTTGGCATGACAATATTCTTTCTCAATTACTTCACCAGTGCTATACAACCTGCGCGGAGAATCTCCTGTAAATATAAAATATATAATCAATAATATAAAATATGTAAAATATAGACAAGTTGACTAAAATTAATCTTGATTATTTGAATTATACCTGATTGGATCTTTAGTCCCAAAGAATCTAAACAATCTGTATGGAGAAAATACAATGTAGATGATTCTTGCAGAATAGTGTAGTTTTGATGCTCTTCATCCCATACTACCAGAACAGCATCTCCAATGTTGCAACTACACAAAACAAGAAATTAAAGAAATTCACAAAATTTGGTATCTAAGCTAAAAAAATTATACATACGACATAATGCTGATTTTTCCTTGCTGAATCAGTGTTGTTGTGCTCTGGCTCTGTAACAAAGAGTAAGAAAGAAACCGATTTAGTATAAGCTGTCTCTCTACAACTTGGAAAAACATTTTTAAAAAACAAACAACGAGCTATAGTAGCATATACTTTTCCATATTATTATAATATTGCTGCTTTTGACCTACAATCCTACAGTTATTACTGCATTTACCGGAATGTAAGACTATGTTCTACACTTTCATTTGAAAAATGTGTGGTCAACTTATATACTGCAACTTTGGCCTAGTTAGTTAGGATTTATGTTTTGAGTTTGCCTTCCATGTCACGAAACTCATAAATGGTGGCATTATATTAAGCTGGAAAGAAAATAAGATATCACCCTTATTTATATATTCTCAGCATCCCCTGTGAAGATTCCCAGTGATTCAGATTAATATTCTTGAATGGGTCATTCAAGAGAATGCCAAATAAATGGTATTATATCAAATTAAATGCAACATAAAATGAATAAAAAACGTTATCGAAATTTTGCTACACGATGTGATCTGCGAGGTCACACCGACTCTCAGTTTGATGCTCAGCAAGTGCTAATCTCAGTTTTGCACAAGATGGAAATAAAGAAACATTGATAGAAACATGCATTCTACATCTCACCAGAGAAAAAAAATGATAAAAAAAGATTCTTTTAACAAACTTTCCAAACTTGGAAACTTGCCACCATCTCCCACATCACCTGAGAAATGGAGGCTAAGAGGCATAGAATTTCGCAACTCGTACATCTGAACATTACACGATTTTAATTTCAAGTACATTTGTGGAAGAAAGTGAAAGAACTGTTGAAGAGTAAGAGGACATGAACATCAGTGAGACAAGAGGAAAATCTGGCAACACTAAAGGCATAGTGGCATAAATTTACATAATGATTGTACCTAAAGAATGTACATTTAGATTAAGAATGCAATACAACAGAGAACCAAAAAGGAGGTCCGAATCAATGTGAAGAAAAAGAGAATACCATAATCATAATCATGATTTTATGTAATAAGAAAATAGTTGTAGCTGAGGAAATAAGCATTTAACATTCTCATCAATAAGACAATTTTCTAGACAATCAGACAATTTGCAATTTTAAGCTGACAAAATTGAAAGATTTAATTTAAAATTTTAAAAATTCTCTGGAGACTTCCTCAAAATTAGGGGATTGTCTTATAATTGGGTAAAAATGGTACTTATTTTCCGAATAAAATTACTGTTGTCTTAACAGCCGGAAGTGGGGGAGAACGGATGTTACCACATACTCAGGCGGCAAACATGTGATCGTTCTTGCACTAAGTCAGCTATTGAGGCATACACATCCAACTTACTGTATTTATAGAAAAATTGTAATAATGAAACTAGTTTATTTGATGAAGTATATTTACATAAATTTATCAGCAACTCTGTAGTGACATCATCACAATTTGAAGCCTCTGTTTGGATAACTGAACCCCCTCACCCCTGTCAGCCAAGAGCCGTCACATAGGCACAAGTATTATTTGCGGTATAAAATCTCTCCATGAGAAAAAGCATGGTACATTCAAATTAGCAATTTTTGTCACTTCAAAGGTTTCAAATGCACATGATTATTAGCAACCATTTCTGTATTTGAGCAAAAATATTAAAGATAAAGACTTCATGGAATTCGGATTAGCATTGCCCCTACTACTTTGTATCATGGCAAGAGAGAACAACTTGCTTATTATGTGAACAAGAAAGAAAGGAAATATTAACAAATCAATTTTTAAAATTTCAAGATTTCAAAATAAATTATTTGAACACCCCTTTTTCTTTTTACTCTTAGTAGTTTTCTTAGTAGAATTACTGAAACTACCAGTGATTAATCTCAAGTTCAATCAAATTACATAAAGATTACCAATTTATCTCGCAAACGATCTTCATGTAAATTTCGACTCGCTGGATCAGGACTAGTGGCTGCATCACGGCTACCACTGGAATCCCTGTAAAGTTTATCATAACATATAGTTGTCTATGAGGAATCCAAGTTTATAATTTTTTGTTGCAATTTATACTCACTGGACAACAGCCACAGATGAACTCATTTCATGACCCATATGAAGCCTAGATTCTTCTGCATCATCTGTTGCAGCAGTCTCAGAAAGGGTTCGAGTTTTGCGACTGCGTTCACGAGCTAATTCTGCTTCAACACGGCGTTTCTCTGCTTTCAGTAATTCAATACGATCAAGTAATTGCCAGACTGTTGAACCACTCATTTTCGAATCTAAACTTCTGCAATAAGTTTAGATACATTAGATAAGTACATTAGATGGAAGAGTTAGAAGTAACTACAAATATTGGCAAGTTACATGCACTTTTCATGCATCATTCTACAACATTAAGCAACATACAATAATAGCATTCTTCAAACAAACAACCTGAATCTTAACAAGATTGATTAACATTGGCATCCAAGAGGTGGAGAGTTTTGAGCTTACAAATAATATTTTACAATTATTTTTTACTGATTGGTACATATCAGAAAATAAAATTTGAAAAAGAACCATTATAAATTTTATCTAGCCAACAAGTACGTATAAGATGTACAATTACAAAATGCAAATATGAAATGTACATCTTTGCTCAACTACAAAATCAGTGTTTCTGACTACTGTATAAAGTAAACTAATGGTGATACTATAGCACATAATTGCTCATATTATTTGTACCAGGAACATAATATGATATTGAAACTCATATCCTATTAATTATTTACCCGTCTCTTGAAAAACTCTCTTTAGCAAAAGAAGCATGGAAGATAAGAATTTGCAATTTTCAAATTTTCCAATGAAAATTGGACTTGCACCATATTTATAAAAGCATCAGGCTCAATTACAAAAAAAATTTAATGAACAAAAAATTGCCCCTTGTGAGAATCCTTGCCAAAGCAGACTAGACATCAAATCGGAGCAAACATTACTGAACTACAAGACTCTTCTACCAATTAACCTCTTATTATCTAGAAAGAAAGAGAAAAATTTGCTCTCTAAAACTTCAGAGATTTCATAACAATGCCACAGAAATGAAATAAATCCCACTCTTAGAGGTAATGAATGAAATAATGAAATGTAATGCATAAATTGATCTGTCCCCAAAATATATTTTTCAACAGTCTTTTATGGTGTTTTATCATCATTAAAGTAAAAAATATATCATGTCATTATATTCACAGAAAGAAAGGAAGGAGGAAGGAAGGAGGAAGGAAGGAGGAAGGAAGGAGGAAGGAAGGAGGAATGAAGGAAGGAGGAAGGAAGGCGAGAGAAAATTTCACATGAAATGAACTTGGAAACCAAAAGCCACATGTGTTTCTATTTTAAATCCTGAAATTTCTATAGTTAGTATATTTGGACCGGTTACTTTGACTTACACTAAAACTGCAGTGAAAGAAAAGCTCAAATAGTGTTTACATTTTTATAATGAGAAAGAAAAACTCATTAGATTTACCCAGAAAACTCTACATAGAAGCAGAATTTTTCTCTTCATTCCATGTTAGTCATGGAATTTCTTCAAACCAATAACAAATTATACAGTGGAATCTCGATAGCACATTTTTCGAGGAAGCAAACATTTTGAATATTGTAAGCAGGAAGTGAAAATTGTTCAATTTATTCTTACTTTTCACATTTCCATCTGCAAACACTTATAACACTTAAAAAAACTAATGGATCCACAAATAACAGGCAAACATCCATGGGATGAACTAATTCATTCATAAATGACACTGAATTACACCAAAATAGCACTAAGTAATGCACATTAATGCTTGCGACCCATGACCGTTGCATTGTGCAATGAAAGCTACAAAACACGTATTATCTTGACGTATGTTGTAGCTTGAGAGTCTTGCTTGAGCTGTGGGCACAATGCACGTCGCCAAGAGCGCTCATATGGTGTTTTGCAAAAGATACAGTGTTAATCTACAACACGCGTTAGGCAACTCATGTGCACAGGCAACGACGCACGTGGACAGAGCTGTAGGTACCGAGCATCAACACAACGCTCCTGTGACATAGGCCCAAAAAAAGAAAAAATGGCATGGAAGGAACAACCAAACACGTTTCTCTGACTCTGGAATCAAAGTGAAAGCAGTACCCAAACGTACCATGAAAACAACACACTTGTGCACCAGAAAAAGCATTTCTGCAATTCAAAATGCAAATCATGAAGAAAGTTATCTACACAAACTTTGAAAACGGTTAGCAGGATTGTTAAACATGTAACCAAATAATTTGATGGAAATGGGACCAGAACTTGAAAAATATGAACGTACTAAGGTGGAAAATATGACAACTGGGAACATGCTAACAAGATTCCACTGTATAAATTTAGTGTACACAAATATTTATGAAAAAGCAAGGTACTGCATGCAATTATAGCAAATTATGAGACTTTATTTCATTCAATACTTTAACTTCGTAAAAATATTACAGAAACATAAAATAAACATTCGGGATAAATCTCTTTTAGACACAGGAACATATTCTTGCATAAATTCAAAGCCAAACAAATGTGCAGCTACTTCATGATATTTTAATAGAACTTCCAGTTTTCTTCAGAAATTTAAGGGCATAAAGTCAATAGGCAACCACAGAATGAAAATATAAAAATCATAACGATGATTTAAAATCTCCTTTCTCAACTAATTCATAAAAAGAAATGCAGATAATACAATGCTTTATTCTATATTAAAAATACAACAAAAAACAACAAATACCTGTACTTAAGTCCAAATCCTTGCAATCCACTACTGCATAAAACAAGGAATTTCATACATTACTAAATAGTAAAATAAAGTAATAAAGCTGTATAGAAAAATTACTTACCCTCCAGCTTCCCTGCTGCAATCGGTAAGATTGCGAATAGTTTCCTGATACCGTTGACACTCTGCCATAAGTGTTGCCTCACGTGTTCGTAAGGCTTCCATTTGTCTCTCCTTCTCATCCACAACTCTCCTCATAGCTTCATTGAACCATACCTATGAAAGATTAAATTCACAAGAATTTCTCTTTGGACAACAGCACTATTATATAAAGGAGGATACCATCATAAAATCAATCACAAATCGTGATTCTTAACTGTAACTCACCTGTCTCTCAGCTTCTGATCGAGTGCGTGCTAACCGCAGTTCATGTTCAAGGCGTGCCTCAAACACGGCACGTTCCTGATCAACTGCAGCCTTCACTGCTGCTTCTCTCTGATCTTCCATATCATCCCGAACTTGCTGTACAATTGCCTCATGATTCATAAGTTCAATCAAGTCAGCTCTCTGTAGAGGCACACAATTTACCAAAATCATATGAGTGATTTTTAAAAGTGAATTAAAATAAATAAATAAATAAATAAATAATAAAATATAGTAATAAATATATTTAATTATGAAGAGTATACATTGTATTATTACACAATTTAAAAAACTATTTTACATTATTCTTTACCTCAATCCTTTCTAAGCTACTATCACTTGGACTGCGTTCCATGGAAGCAGTAGCCATCAAACGATAGCGTGAGCGCAAGCTTTCAAGCTCAGTCTTATATTCCCGATTAAGGCGTTCTTGAACTTCTTGAATTGCTTGTTGTTTGCATGTCTCAGCTCGATCAATTTGTTGCTGCATGCTCCCTATCTGTTCCCGCATATCACTTATTCTTGCTTCCAAATCTCGTACCATTAAAGCACGAGCAGCTACTTCCTCCTCAAGTCGATGTTCCATGTCAGCACGCAATCCATTCAACTGACGGTCTTTATCCATCAACTCCTAAAATATAATAAACAAAACAATGATATAAGCAGAATGCTCTACAGAAATTCCTCCACGTAAGTAATTATTTTTCATCATTGTAAATTCACAACCGTGAAGTAGAAATAGGAAATTTAGATTAAAGGATTTGGTTGGAGTGAATTGAGACATTAAAACATACTTTGCTGACATTTGGGATATTTTTATTCCATGCTCAGGGCTGGTGGTAAGCAATTATAGCAAGGCATCATACCAAGTATCTAGGCCCAAGGTGGATGTGGGTGGCCCTTGCACTGTAACCTCTCTATACAGAATTGTGTTGGAGTCTTGACGCTATGTTTTTGAAAGGTTGTAACCACATGTATATCTCATAGAAAGGCCAGTCCAGTTCATTATCCTAATGTGTAGTATGCTATTATGTTGTAATTGTCATTTCCATATCAATTGTTCTTATATTTTTGTTTTACCACCAGCCCAAAGGATGGAATAAAAATATCCCCAAAGGTTCAGCAAACCATGTTTTAATGAAACAGATTCACTTTAACCAAATTCCATGATTTACATTTTCCTATAATTATTTTAAAAATTTTAACTACTGATATCTTAAAATACAAAATTCACATGCTCATTTTTTCCAACATCCTTTCATTGTAAGAGAATAAAGGAAAAATGTCATAATTATTCAAATTGGATCTAATATAACATATCATTACAATCATAAGATAATGAATTCACTGAGAATCAGTGGCAGCTCCTCGGGAAAAGTAATGTAGGTAGAACCAACAGTGAGGAATATGAACAAGTTTAATATATTTGACACGTAATTCACAGTTTCTAGTTTTCTAGTTTTCATAAACATGTTTCATCTCAAAACCTAAAATGTTACATTACATTAAAAAAACACATAGAAAAAAGTCATGTGTAACCTATACACTTATATCACGACATTTACACAGAAATCATTATTTCTAGTTAAAAAGATATTGCTAAAAATAGTTTGGTCACTACCCTACCTGTAAGTTACTAAGTGGTGAAAATAGTTCACATTTACTATTCCTGTTTTGTTTGCAAATCCTTTCAAAATTGAAAATGAGGTTCAAAAATAGATTCACCAACTTGCGAAGTTAACTTCAGACACATAATTTGTAAATTGTTAACTGATGTCAATATTTTGTTTTATTTAAAAAATAGGCTATAAATTCGAACCTAACATGACATTTAATTTTTGGCCTTCAATGATCTTAAAAACTTCCTATCCAGCCTCTAGCAGAAGAAAGTTAGGTGACCCCTAGTCCTCATGATCAGAAACCTTTTGTTTCTTCCAGTTTTGAGCACATTTCTGGATTGGACAGGCACATTTGGAGATCAACCTGCTTCCCTCTGAATTCTGAGCAAAGGCCCTACAATTATCATAGAACAGTAGCAGGCTATATCCATACTCAATGTACATGCATTCAGCTTATGCTGTCAAATTATGATTTTGCCCATTTATCTTCTTTTGAGTTGCCTGCCCTGCAGGGCTTCAACTTGTAGCCAAATCAACAGCATGCCACTTGTTTAATTGTAACATCAAAACGTGGCAAAGTATTATTGTTTACAAAGCAATTTTTTAATTTCATTTTTCAACTTATTTATGATGATAATGAGTGGTGTTCCACAAGGATCAGAACTATAATGGATAGTGTTTAATAGTGATACCAATATATATATATAATATTGATATTATATATATATATACTATATATATTTATATATATATATATATATATATATATTATATATATATATTATATAGTGTGGTGTTATGGGATTGTGCAACCCATAACACCACCGTCTCATGTTGAACACTACGGAAGCAGCGAGGATACAGACACGTAACTGGCAAGAGGTACTTAAACGCGCGGCTGGTATCCGTTGCCCCGTACTAAGCGACTGCGAACTAGCGAGCTTATGTTTCTTTGTGAAGGGTTAAGAGAGGGGAAAGTAGCGACCCCCCCCCCCCATCACAAATTTGCCCAGGCGCCGCACCATAAATACGGCGAACCGAAGCGCAAGCCTTCTTCTGGTCACCACGCGTCGAGTAAGCCAGCTTGCTCTTTTTGATAACCGTTCGACGAAGCCCCCCCTCAACATTTTCGTTAAACATTAGATAATTGTTTGCCGTTGCAACGACTACTAGGTAGGAGTAATTCGGGTCGAACAGCGTTCTAGCTAGTCGTCCGCGAGATAGTGCAGATTAAGTAGTTTCTTCAATTAACAACACGGGAAGTAAAAGTTGCCCGTTGTAGGGAAAACATTAAAGTTCTAGCTTGTCAAAGTAAAGTAGCAACGAGCGAGGAACTTGCACTGAGTATTCGTAAAGTGCAAGGAACATTTTCGCACGTGGGCGTAGTCAGGCGCCGGTAGCAGACGAGAAGAGAAGAGGCCGAGGATTGGGCGCACGAGGAAGAAGACTGATCGACAACGAAGAAGAAACGGAAGAGGACGCAAAGAAGACAACGCAGACGCAGAGGCGAATCCTGTCTCTCTTACAACGCAGAGGTTGGGACGAGCGGCGTCACCGCAGCGATCCGCGCACGACAATCAAGGCCAAAATTGCGAGTCACGAGTAAAGTTAGGAATCGCAGAAAAAGGTCAAGTTCACGTCGGCAGGGAAAAACTAGTATAGGAAAGTGTAAGAATTTGAGGACACGGGTGGTAACAAATTACAGTATTATAGTAGGAGACGTTTGATGCGCTATTGCCTGCCTAAAAACATTCTACTTAGGACATTTATTATTTCGCCTAGTTTCAGACACAGTTAAATTGTAAATTAGAGTATGCACTTGTACACATTTTGTTCTTTACATGTAATATCTTGAAGCGAGGATTGTAAATTGAATTTTTTGATTTTATGTGCAATGTTATTAGGATACAACAAATTTAGATATAATTAATTTTGAAGGAATCCAGTGTAGTTTAGGGTAATTACGTCAGAGTATCAATCTTGAAAGTAATTATGTGTTTCATTCACATGAGTCTGTGTTGTTAAGTTTCTATTTGTATTTTGATCATTCTTTGTAAAAGTGCGATTCTATATTCTTGTTTTTTTCATTAACTTATGCACTAAAAGTTTATGGTAAATTATACGCTCGTTTGTGTGCAATCTGTGTGATTTTTATTGTTCAAGGGTTCAAACCTTTCTCGCGCCTGAAGATCCTGCTCCCTAGATTTTAAAGCTCTCTTCACGAGCAAAATCTTGACAACCTGCTTACGTTCATGCCTGCTTACCGTGAAGGTTGGTAAGTTTGTACGAGGTAGGTGGGTTGTTATATATCTATATATATATATATATATATATATATATATATATATATATATATATGTATATGTATTTATTAAGTCAACATTTCCATGCATGCTGATGATACAAAGATCTACAATAACGCCCTACATAACTCTACAACCTACAAAACATTTTAGATCCCTCCCACCTGAACTCGTAAAGGTATGGTCACACAACCCTCCTGAAAAAAAGAAAGTGTATAGTCATACATATGGGTAACAATAACCAATCGCAGATTTTGAGGCCAGTACAATGAGACAGCCCTACACAAAACACTTGGAAATAATGATATCCAACAATTTGAAATGGGAACAACATATACCCAATTCACTATCAAAAAGGTCAACAAGTGTTTATAACCGAATTAGAAATATTTCCGGACAATGGATAAGGATTCTCAAACGTTACTGTATAAATCTTACACATTGCCAATTTTGGACGAGTATTTGGAACTTGAGCTTTGTTAAAAATTCACTTGTAAGTGTTGAAGTTCAAATACTTATTAAGCAAATAATTTTTTGTTTCTTTTTGTGTTATTGTCAGGATAGAGCGGAACAGAATTCAATAGCAGAGAGCTATTTTAATGAAATATATTACCTTTTCAAACAATTAAAGAAATTTTTTACCCAATATTCCTGGGTTTTGTTGGTTTTCATTTCAAGTGAGGGCTATTATGTGTCTAATTCTAACCTTGCTTAACCATTATCAATAAGACAAAGTAAGAGCTGATTTTAGAATGTATAAATTTCTTCTTGAATTGATGACCACTATGGCTTAATGGAAATACACCTACAGAATATGAAATTCTCAATAAGCAACAGTTGTTTTCAATTAACTGAGTAAAATTACCAAACAACAACAACAGGAACTGGGGTGGGGACACACTATCTGAATCCCCATTCCCACATATGCTCAGAATCCAAATAATTTATCTTCAAACCAGAAAAGACAATTTAATTTAAATAGAAGTCAAAATCTTGATGAACACAAACTCTGACAACAAAGAGAGGATTTTTTATTTTGCACAAAAAAGATTACTCTCTGACATTTTTCACTCCACATTAAATTCACTTCCCTGAGCAAATCTTAAGGTAGAGTTGTAATTGGCATGAAGTCAACAAAACAACAAAATACAAAAACAACATATTTTCTGAATATGAAGACAATTAAAACTAAATACAACTAATAATTGATTTTACACATGGTGACTAAACAGCAGTTTAAATATAAAGGGATATAATCTACATACCAGTTTCAGCTGCCTAATTTCCTCTTCTTTAACATCTGTGAAAGCCTTTACTTCTTGCTTTAAAGCATCCATCTCCAGCTCATGCTCAATGGTAAGTTGTTGCACAACACGAGCTGCTTCATCTCGCCGAGACATTTCCCCATCTTCCATTGCAACTCTATGCCTTTCAAGGGCTGCAAGCAACTCACTTGAGCATTGGCACAAGAATTCTTGATTAGATCCCATAGCAACACGTAGAGCAACTAATTCCCCTCGGACAACAGCAACCACATCTGCTACAAGTCGCCCGGCGGAGACTAAGTGGTTACGAAGGCGTTCAACCTCATTTCTGGTGTTTCCAAGATTTTCCTGCAAGAAAAGGTATGACAACTGAGGAATACCCGAGTCCTATATTCCTGGGAGCAGCAGTATATAGTTGCATTACATTTTCAGCATTCTGATTCAGAATAATTGATAACATAACCAGATCTGGGAGAAATACTTTCCCAATTTAAGTAAAATCAGGTACCACATCTGCTCAGAATATAACAATATTTTTAAAATAAATTAATTGAAAGTTTACAAAAGAATACCCAAAAGCATTTATTCTAGACAAATATTTGGTCAATTAAGCTATTATCTGCAATTAGACCATAACATAATAACATTTTTCTTTATAACAAATCTTGCTTGCAAGTTTGTCACTAGCAAATGTTGCAACTCCAAGTTACTGCGAGGTTAAGAGATATAAAAATAAAGAAAGATAAGCACAGTAACGACATATTTAAAAAAAAATTACATGAACAAGAACAGAATCGATTTGTAAGAAAATTGCAAAATAAAATCATAAGATCCAAGTATGGCCCTAATTTGCTTTCAGATTGTAAAGTAAATTACAAAATAAAAATTAAACATAAGGAAACAAACACACAAAACTTAACTTGAAAGAGATTTCTACCAGTTAAACTCGTCAACCATCTGAAATGCTACACTCATTATTACAGCAACATTCAATACAAAAAAATGTGAGCAAGCACATGTAGTACCTGTAATTTTCACATCCATCCAAGAAATTTGCTCTTGTTAATAACTACGGCTCAATATTCTTCTAAGGAGCACTTTTCTATATGTGAAGTGAGTTACATGCATATTATTTCATGCAAAATTCAAGAGCTCCTTTAAACATTGTTTCTAAATTATTTCCTTGAGTACTATTTTACTCATTCTAAAAATTAGAGGAGTCATACCTCTCAAAACTGGAATATAAATTTCTTCATGAATTCTATTGTCTAAATATATGGGAAATGAGAGGAAAAGGACGAGACAAGGAATCAGGAACCATACACCAGATGACCAAGGCCCAAGCTAACTAAAAAATTACTACTATACTTATCAGCCAAGGAAGAAATGAAGTGCATCTGTTTCAATAACAAGGAAATGAAAAAATTAAATGAAATAAAATTAATGGTTTCAAATTAAAAGAACAACAGAAGAAAATTAACAGAAAAATAAGAACAAAGTTTTGAAAAAATATAGCAAAAAGTAATAAGAAAGTGTCTTGATTCAGATAAATCATGAGCAACACAAAAACAACTTGCTCGTATTTGGGGCCTTTGGTTCTGTACCTGCAGCAGGGCAACCAGAGTGTTCATATCTTCCAACTGGCGCTGCAGCTCAGAGGCAGGTGGGTGATGGCACTTGGCACCACTGCTCTCCGTGTAGCTCGAAGGCATAGAGTCATCTATGTAATACTCAGTTGTCGCAAACTCTTGTTGTGTTTGCTGGTGGTGCTGAGCAGAGAGGTGACTGTGGGTTAGGCTTGGGGAGTGCATGGAGCAGGATGAGGATGGAGATGGGCTAGCCTGTAGTTTCTTGACTTCCGGAACACCAACCTCAAGAAGGGCCACAGCAGACGCCTGACCAGCCACCCTTGGGCTGGCTGGCATCTCTTCAGTCGCCTCACTGCAGGTCAACTTGATAGGACTCTGGCCAACCTTCTCAAACTCCTCCGTGTCAGTCTCCGATTCAAAACCTCTGTAATCACATAACATATAATATGTTTAAAAGACACATAAGCAGATATTTTTTTGTTTGTTATATTTAAGTACCAATCTGTACATTAGTTTTTATGTTTATGTGCATTAGTTCATTATTATTTATTTACTGTATTTGGGTATATGACACAAACAGATTTTTGCTGTCTACATATAAAACCTAATAGTTTATACCTAATAAAAACAAATGATTTGTTGTAGCATATTGCTATTCCTACTGAATGCAGTAAAACCTCTCTTTTACACTTTTCAAGGGTTCAGGGAAGAAAATGGTGTAAATCATGGGAGAATGTAAATGCTGGAAAATTAATTTTTCTTGTAAAATAGGGAACATTAATACTCAAGTTTTATTAATAAAATCAACCTTTTGAAACTTTAATGGACTTCTTAGATATTTTATAATATTTTAATACTTTTTATTTATTGGAACCAATTTATGATCAATGAACATTAACACTTTTAATCCATTAAAAAAAAA